CAAGCAGAGTGTGTGGTAGATAACCCTTGTGGAGCTGTGTAAAACGCTGGTGGTACCCCCCATGCCTGCAAATTGTTTCTGTTTTGTAAATGTTTGATAACGACTGAGTGAGCAGCAATTTGCAAGGCAAAATTAATGATACTGTGAATGCAGATGATGCTTCCTTCTGGTTACCTCAGGACATTCAGGGACTGTAAGAAGATGGAATGGATGCGGATCCAGGCTGTGGGTCCAGGCTGTGCCATACACTTTCATTGCTCATTTTAAGATGCTGTCCTGGGCCTGTAGAGGTTCTTTTACCGCTGAAAAATGACAACTCCCATGCAATTCCCTCCCATTCCACGGCAAGGTTTAGGCTCCTGCACTCTGGGCCAGACAGGAGTGCTGGCTCCAGGCAGCGTTTCCATAGGCTCCAAACTGACCGAGCTCTAATGGATGACTGTTGATGCTCAAAACTTCCTGAACCTGGAATTGTATATATGGGGAACGGGCATGAATTGTTTATCATTTATAGAACCAAACATGATTTATTGCTGAAGTGAGTACTCCTTAAGTGAATCCCATTACAGGGACCAAAAAAAACCGGCAGGTAATTTAAGAGGTCGTGCCTTTTTATTTACTCTTATTTGGAAGGGCTACAATCTGATCTGTCCTGAAAGTCACGTCCTGTTCTATTTCTGGCATTCCCATTCCCTAATTTGGTTCATGCTCATCCTGTTCCTTCCCATACCTTTAGGTGTGTCAATGCAATAACCAGATAACTGGTTTGAATCCCATGCAGATCAGCAGTGACACAAAGCTCTTATCTCACCGTTATTACCCTGGCTCCCTAAGGAAATGAGGTTTAGGTGGTTGCGTGTCTGTCTCCTTCAGCCACCTCTGCACCTCTGGGCTGGTTTAGGTATATTTGGCTCCTTTATGTGAATACTGTGGCTGTAAAAATAGAGACCTCAGTTCTTGCAGGGTGGTGCAGGAGGGGCCCTGCAGAACATCACTCTGTTAAAAGGAAACCTTCAGCAACAATGGCATGAGAATGGGTAGTCACATTTTTGGGTGGGCAAAATGGTTTTTGGTTCTAAGTGTCACCAGTTCCAGTTTCTTTCTCCAGCAAAGCCAGACTTTCTTGTGACATGCTGGAAACTTGCCTGTTCCTGGTGTCTTGCAGTGGATAAAAGAGCTTTCAGGTACAAGCCCTGGTTTTGTAATTGAATCTCCTCAGGAAGAGCTCCAGGGAATTGTTGCTGAAATCGATGAGGCTTTGCCTGGAAGGAGGGACCTGGCAGATCTGATCTCCACGTCTTCACCTTAACTCTTCTGATCTGCATGTGGAATCAGGCAGTGCTTCCAAATGTCTGGCTGTTGAGTTATGAGTAGTGGTAAATTATGAGAGCTGGGAGAGCGCCGTGATCCAGGAGACTTGTTTAGTGCTGACTTCTCATTGCTGCTTAATTGAAATGGGGTTTATGTTGGTGTCTGCTGCTGAAATAGAGCAGGGAGTCAGCTGGACTATAAAGCGATGTGGTACAGTTCCTAAGTGAAGCTGCCAGCCTGCCTTTGAAGAATACTTACAGAGAACTAAGTTTTCCAAATTATGGGAATGTGTGACTCTGCTGCTAGTGGAAAATGCTGCCTTGACACCTCTGAAGTTCACTGTATGACCCCGGGGAAGGTGAGATTCACATGTTTTAGGGTAGAAGAGAGATCAGAAGTTTAACTCGTCTGTCTGAGAAGGAAGCTTAGGTCTGGGTTCAGCCCTTAACGCTGCGGGTGCTGCCCACTCAGCCCTGGTAGATTCCTGGGCCACCAGCAAATTCCAGTCAGACGTGACAGAGGGGCAGGAGCCTTGAACTTGTTCCTTTGGTTTTCACAAGAGTCCATAGGGAGAGACCTGCTGGGAAGGGGTGAGCCACGAGCTCTCCCTGTACCAGGCATCAGCCAGCCAGGCTGTAGGTCAGTGCTGAGTCTGTGGTGCTGCACAAGGTCAGGATCAGCTCTGCCTCCCCACTCCTGACCAGCCACCAGGGAGTGACGTCTTCTTGTGTGCCTGAACTGGAACCCAAAAGGTGAGAAATGTTATAATCCCCTCTCGGTGTGAAGCATCATCTCACTCTAAAGCACTGGCCCTTTGGCGGCTGTTGCACACGGGGTAACTGGACAACTGTGGTGCTCAGGGCACAGGTAAGGGCACGGGTGGGCTTTGCTGACTGTCCTCCTGTCTCTTGCAGGCTAAGGTAGCCAGTGTCTACGAATCCCCTGGCTTCTTTCTAGGGTTGGATCCGATTCCAGGAGCCCTTGAAGCTATGCAGGAGATGATCCGCATGCAGGAGTAAGGACGCTTTGCACTCCGCAGCCCTTTTCCATTACCTGACGTACTTCCCCTGACTGCTAATGAATGGTGTTTCTTTTCAGCACCGAAGTCTTTATCTGCACCAGTCCTCTCCGGAAGTATGAGCACTGCATCCTGGAAAAGGTGGGAGAGAATTTGTTCTACTGGGGTTTATTTTGCTGCTTTTGCAAGGCCTTGTTCTATCATACCATCCAAGCCAGAGTCATTCATCTGTGAAGACAGCGGCTGGCTCAAGCTGCCAGGCTTCCCTGGATCCCTCTCTTTGAGGGGCAGCTTCCCAGACACAGGGTAGTAGCACAGGATGGGGAATCTTGGAGTGTGCTCTGGTGCCAGTGTCCTTACTGTGGGGCATGTGTGCCCTGTGCTCTCAGAGCTGGCATGATGTGACCCTGCTACTCCAGCTATGTTGGCAGGTGATAGCAAAGGAATTGTTGTAGCATGGCCCACAGGGGTGGATATTCCCAGGGGATTCCACACTGGGCAGTCCTCAACCCACAGAACCTTACTCTGTCTAAATGTGGAGCCTGAGACACCCAGTGTCCTGAAAGAGGCCAGTGTGAGTTAAGAGGAGGCATCAGTGTTGGAATAGGTCCTGTTTGCCAGTGGCATGAGAACGAGAGGGGGACCTTAATCACTGGAATGACTTGGATGGGCACAATCCACATGCTCTGGGCCAGCAGCCGGTGCTGCTCACACTCGGCAGTGGTCAGGCATGGGAAACACAGTGCTGCTGATAGAACACAGGTTAAATCAGCGTCCTGGGCCATGGCCAGTCTCTGCAGTGGGGACTCATGGACACAGCTGTAGGTTTGCAGGGAAGAGTTACTCTACTGGGGCTGAAGTACAGGAGCATTTTCTGTCATTTCTTACCTCTGCAGTATAAGTGGGTAGAGAAACATCTGGGACCCGAGTTTGTGGAGCGGATTATTCTAACCCGAGACAAGACCGTCGTGTCTGCAGACTTGCTGTTTGATGACAAGGATACCATTACAGGTTTGGAAAGCACTTGTGTGGATTGCTGTTAGCTGGGAAGGAACCCCCTGCCTGAGCCCAGCTCTCCTCCCTTGCCCCCAGGTGCAGAGCCGAACCCCAGCTGGGAGCACATCCTCTTTACCTGCTGCCACAACAGGCACATCCAGCTGCAGGCCCCGCGCAGGCGGCTGCTGTCCTGGGCGGATGACTGGAAGGGTATCTTGGAAAGCAAGCGCAGGCGGTAGTGCACAAAGGGGATGCTGGGCTCTTCCCACTGCCAGGAAGTGATCCACTGGCAGGGAATAATCCCATTCCCAGGAGGCAGTGCGCACTCTCATCCAGGCAGCAGCACTTTGGGAGTAGTTGTAACAAGACATAAGCTGCCCTTGTTAGACATGCTGCAGGGCTGATGCTGCTCCATGTGTATGGAAGATTGCTCTGTTACGTCTGTAGAGTTTGGGATGTTTGCTGCTGGTGAAGAGAAACGATAAAATACAAGAAGTTGTGGGTTGTATTTATGTGTGTGTGTTTTTAACCTCAGTCCTGTTTGTTTGGGGCTGACTGGGGGTGGAAGGGAACTCAAAAGAGGAAGAAGTAAAGCTCTGAAACTAGAGCAGACACAGCGAGGGTGTCTGTCAGGGAACACTGTGCACAACAGCCAGACCCTGTTGGTGTTATGTATTTAGCCACCCTGGCTTTTGGTTACCTTTTGCATCATTGGCTGATGACGAGAGGACAAGCAGCTGGCTTCCATTTCTGGACCATGTGCGTGAGTAAGAGTGGGTGAAGGCTGGGCTTCGAGTGCTGGAGAGAAATATTTATGAGCTTACACCAAACTGTTTACACAGCATTTAAGTTAATGTTTTATTAAGAGAAGGTTTTACGAGACAGCTGTTCTCATGAGCCAGGCTGCCAAGAGCCCTTTATTTAATATTCACCTTTCTCACCAGTGGTAATGAAAGAAAAAGAGCTTTTCACTTCCCTGTTTATAGGATAGCTGCAGCCTGCCCTGTGCGGTGATGTACTAGTCTGTGCCACGATGACAGGGTGGCATAGTTGGTACTAAAGAGGTGCACTAAGACTTCAAACTGCCAGGGCAGGGAAACACCTTCTTTCTTCTGCAGGAGGAATAAAGTTTATGAGACATTTCAAAGTCCTTTGAGCTGACACTGGAGAGCTACAGCAACACCAGCCAGGGAAACCAGAGTGGGAGATAAGCTGCCCAGTAACCCAAGCAGAACCCCCGTCATGGCTGGGAAGGGTTATTGGTGCAAGCTGGGTGCTGGGCTGCATGTGGAACCCTGCTCTCCAACAGCCATGACCTGTTCTATTTTAAATAGTTGCTTTCAGTTTTAGCTGGGTGCTTGGCCTGACTAACTGTACATCCTCTTTAGTAACTAAATCCAGTGCTGCTGTGACCAATTTCCCTCTTTTATGTTGCTCCTGACACCACTATTGACCTGCTGAGCAGAAAGCAGAGGGCTGGGAAAAGAGAGGGAGGTCTCCCTCTTTTCCCCAAGGTGGTGGAATCACCCTCAAAACCCATGTAGACGAGGCCCTCAGTGCCGTGGGTTTGTGGTGGCCTTGGCAGTGCTGGGGAATGGTTGGATTGGATGATCTTAAAGGTCTTTTCCACCCCAGGTGATTCTATGATGGGGCGATTCAACAGCTCTGCACAGGCTCAGTCCTTGGGGAGGGGAATCCCCACGGCGGTGTGTTTGCTCAGGCTCCTGGCCTCTTCCACCTGCAGAGGGGTGCAGTAATCCTCCAGGAAGATGGTTGCCAGGTTGCTCAGCCTCCTGCTGGCCGAGAGGGAGAAGCGGAGCATGCACTCCACCACGGGCAGCGCCGTGGTCTGCTGCCGCGACCGCGGCGTCGTCAGGTACATCAGCGTCGTGACCGCCGACACGACGGTCTCCTCGTTGGGGCTGGAGAGGCAGTTGATGATGGGCTCTACCCCGTTTGCCGCCAGGATGTAGTCTTTGTTCGTTTTATCCAGGCACAGGTTACAAAGACCCCCTGAAACAGCAAGAGAGAACATCTGACACGTGCAAGACAAGCTCTTCACCCCCTCGGCTTTTCATGCTCAGATTCAGGTTCGCCCCTGAGCCCTTTCTTCTAACACAGAAATAAGCATCTGTGATGTCTGGATGGAAAATTCTTAACGGCTCCTGGGCAATGTTTTCCACACATTTTCCACCAGAACATTCCTTCTCCTTTATGTCATTAGAGGGCACTGTTACTGCTGGACGTAACCTCTTCCACAGAACCCCAGCATCACTTAACCGTGACAGAGGCTAAAGCCAGCAGTTCATTGCAGGTGTTAGAGGAAAACAGAGAACGGAGCCAACAGCACTAGCCAAGAGGCACAGAATGCTTGAACTTGGCACGTCAAGACGCAGCCATGTCCTGGTGTAGCTCAGCCACATGCCTTAATCAAATGTATTTATTACCAGCTCATGGCATCACTCACAGTTAGGATCTGGCCATTGATGTTTGGACCATATTGAATCACCATAAGGCAGTTCCTCAGAGGGCTTATTAAGAGATTCCAAGTAAGTGTTCCCGAAGCTACTCTGGAGTTTGGTTGTCAGTTCTGCTATTGGTTGTCAGTAGCAGAATGGGAACGCTGCACATTACACACGTGCATTATACATTTTATGCATTAATGACTGCTTCTCTATAGGTATGTTCATCAAAACCTCAGAGTTTGGGGATAAAAACTCCTTCCTGCAGCACAGCAGCTCGATGGGGATGAAGGGAAGATGCCTCCATCCTCCCTCTCTCCGATTCCTCTCCCTCCCCACTAAACGAGGCTGTATCAGCACAGCGGGGGCCTGCCCATGCAGCAAACTGCTGTCTGCCCCTCGGGAGGGACACGACCCCCCAAAACCACGCATCAGCACCTTCCGACGGCTCCTTACCCATGGCGAACTCCACGAGGGTGTCGCTGTGCTCGGTGAGCATGTCGAGGAACAGGTCCAGGACCTGGAGCTGCCGGAGGTGCTCGTAGTTCCGCGGGTCGTAGGCGAAGTTGGCCAGGTTGGCCAGGACCTGCTCCTTGGCCTCTGCAACAGAGAGAGAAGCGCGGTGAGCGCGGAG